GGTAGATACATAACCTCAAGACAAGTGATGCGCTGGGCGTCCTTTGCGTTTGGAGAGTATTGTCTTGCCGGACGAGTCGTTGCCCACTCGCGGCGCTTCCGGTGGCCTCGGAAGATCCTCCCTCGGAGGACGATGGGGACCGGGACGAGGAGGGAACGCCCGAAGAGGCGGCGGCAACAGCCGGGGTCGAAGCGGAAGCCCCATCACCGGTAGGTGAGACGGAAGACGCAGAACCGGCGGCAGTACCGGTGGTTCCAGCGGGGGCAGAAGCAGAAGCAGCACCAGCAGTAGCAGCACCACCAGCAGAGCTCTCCTTCTGGGCCTGAGCAATCTGGCGTATCGTCTTCGCCCTCAGATTCCGTGGGCCCCTAGTGGCGGGGACCTTGTTGAAGGTGCATGATGTCCCGATGGCGACGCAGCCGTCACAGGGCGGGACCTCTGTGCATTTGATCTTGCGGATCTTGCACGCGTCACAAGCTCTTTTGCCAATCTTGCGCCCGGATGACATTGTCTCCGCGAAAGAGACGGGAAGAGACGAAAAGAGTGGAGGGGGAGAACAACGTCGGCCCTGCTACCCTACTCGTGCCGTGTCATGGCAGCTCGCACCACCGTGGACTGACTTCTTTTTGGGTATTCGCCAGGTAATACGTCAGATTTGTGTATGCAGGTTGTGTGAGAGCGGATGTTGTGAAGTCTGTCACTTGCACCAGAAGAAACGGGTCCCCAGGTTCCCGGCAGGCTGGGCTTGATCAAGACCGCGTACAGATAGTTCTTGGGGGGCGTAAGTGGATATGCGAGGTGACAAACACGTAATGGTATGAGGTACGAGTGAGGCTATCCGCAAGTATTACAAAGCAAGGCTGCGAGGATCAGGCGATACTGGCATAATCTGAGTGGGAGAAAAAAAAACTGGCGTTTCCTGCTTGATTCGAATCGAGGCAGAGAGAAAGCTGTCACAGCCGCCTACACGTTTCGAGGTGACTGAGAGAGAGACACGGGAAGGTTGGACCAAGAAAAATGGGGATGGGACTCATGGGAGAGCATCTGCGGACGTCTAAGATGCGCAGGGTGGAGTCGGCGACCGATGGTGTGCTCGCTGCGCTAAGCCGATCAGGGGAGCTGTGGACCTTCTGCTGTGCCTGTCTCCCTGCAGCTCGACACGCTTGAGTCGAAAAGGGCCGGGGGGCCGTAGGGGCTTGAGGGGGCTTGGGGTCGACAGGTGGCGCCCGTTAAGGGACCTTGGCGCTGTATTTCCCCGCAAATTCGGCCTCTCACTGCGGTAATGTCCTTGACCGCTGTCCGGGCCGCCGACCTCCCAGCGATTTGGTCCAGGCCGGGATGTCACACGGGGCCAATCAGCGTCCATCCATTATTACCTAAGTTCAGGTACGTAGAGAGGTATCTCGAATTTCAAGCGAAGAAATCAAACGAAAATATGCATCATTCTACGAAGAACACTAGCACGGTATCGTAATTATCAATTGACCTTCTTGAGAGTGCAATTCGGATATATCGTGTATAGCGTAATTAGTTGAAAAAAGGTTTCATGTAAGCGAATGCATGGTGGCACCTTGTTCTCGTCATTCCGGTCTTTACCATCTGTATTAATTATAATCTTGTCCTGTTCATGGACTGGTATCCAAACTTATATCGCCCATCAACTTTTTTGAATATTGCACTCGAGCTATACTCATGGCATATACGCATACACTGCGTATCGCATGAATACCCCTTTAGTAGACAAATCTGAAATCCAAACGCTTGTTTCCGTCCTGCTCGCGCGCCGCAGCATCACTCTGGTACGCCAGCCGCTCCTCGTTGGACATGGCGTCCCACACCCGCGCCTTGCGCTTGTTCAGCAGCACAAGGACCTGCCGGTGCACCAGGAACACAACGAGACTGAAAGCGCAAATCGATACGCAGACGGTGTTGCCGCGCTTGTAGTACGGCGCATCGTAGGCGCGGTATATTTGCGATCCCGCAAGGGACCCGATCTGCACAATGACGTTGTACGTCGCTGCCGAGATGGCGCGCTTCTTGACGTCGAACGTGTTCTCCGAGATCCACGATGACACGATCGGGTGGAAGTAAGGGTAGCCCGAGATGAGCGTAATAACCGAAAATCGGCTCCATTCGCGTCCACCGTCGGGCAGCGTTAGGAGGGTGATGAGCAGGGGCATGATCCAGAGCTCGCCAAAGATGCAGTGGAACGCCCGTTCCTTGAAGTAGTCACTGCTAAAGGCCAGCGTGAGCATCGTGATAATTTGCAGCACGGCCGAGGGCACCGTAAGCATGTTGGCGTTGAACGTCGTGAAGCCCAGGCGGCGGAGGGTGAGGGTCAAGTATGCCTGGACGGGCGTAGCCGGGATGTAGGCGACGAGGCCGATGAGATACAGACCCCACATGGATGGGTCGAGCCATGCGTTCTTGATGTCCTTGAACGTCATGGGCTCCTTCAGCGCAGTGAGGCCCTTTGCGGGGTCGTCGCGGAGGATGCGGTTGATCATGATGACCTCTTGTCTTTCCGTGTACCACGGCTTTCTCCAAAGGGCCGTCGTAGTGTTCGTCGGGGAGGCGGGGAGCCAGAGGAACGCCTGTAACAACATGGGGTCAGTGGGGGGGAATCCTTTCGAACCACCATACCTCGGGAGAGAGAAAGCGGGGGAAGAGATGCGGGAAGACATACCATGACAGCCAAAACACAAGTCAGGAGACCCTCTGGGCGGCTAGTCAGCGAAAAGACACACAAGAGACGAAAGGTGAGGGAGCAGATCACATACCCAACAGGAAGAGCCAGAACCAGCCCGTGTGTCCACCAATGCCGCGCATCTTGAGGATACCCGCCGCCAGCAAAGCCGAGATGACTCGCGCAACATTGAGCGTGGACCAAAACACGGCCAGCCGAACGGATAGCTCCTTTGATGTGTAGAAATAGGTCGCGAAGAGAATTGTACCGGGGATGAAGCCGCCCTCGCAGGCGCCGATGAGGGCTCTCGTCACGTAGAAGCCAGCGCGGGTCGTGATCCAGGCCTGGGTCCAGGAGACGGTTCCCCACATCATCATCATGGTCGGCAGAACGTACTTGAAACCGAAGCGCTTGGTGAGGAACTGGACGGGAAACTCGGCGGCCAGGAAGCACACCAGCTGGATTGTGGTTCCCTACAGGAGTGTATGTTAGTAATCGCAATAACCCAAAGTGCAGGACTGCCAAAACGTACGTTGTTGTAGTCGTCACTGCTGAGCTTCAGATCTTTGAGGAAATCATCTGCCAGAGCGTTGCTCAAGTTTCCTCTGTCCAATTGCAAGCCAAAGAACTGGGTGAATATTAGCAAAGCGGCTTCTCAAAACCTCAAGATGACTTTGCATACCATGATACACAGCATCGTCAGCAACTTAATGTCCGTGATGCGAACCACTTTCCTCTCCTCGGCCTCGGTCCAAGTCGCGGCGGGATCCCATCTGTGCTTTCCCTCATAAGACTCATGCGGCGGTACGAGGTCAGATAGATTCTCGCGACCGACGACAGGCGCGTCCGAGTCCTGGTAGATGGACACGGCGTCCTTGCCGCTGTCGCTGGCCGTCTTCCGCGCGGTGGTCTCGACGTCGGCCATCTTTGCTGTTGCTACTGCTTCCGTCGCTTGGTTCAAGCGAGAGAGCTCGTGTAAGCAAGAAGTGAGGTGGAGGCCGGAGCGCACACACTTGCCCGAGGTTTCGCTTGCGAAAAAGAAAGGGAAACAAAAAGGTAGCGTAAACCGACGGTGATCGACACGAAGCTCCAATCCTTAGAACGGAGACGTTCTTGATGCTCAACTTAATAGTCGTTCCTCAAACTCCTGATGCGTCTGATTGAGGCTAGCAGATCATGGCTCACGACATCTATGCTCGGTCTTGCGTCTTCGAAGGAACCCACATACTAGTGGAGGTGAACCATGTGGTCGGACAAGGGGGCCAAGGGCGAGAAAAAAGATGGTGTTGACAACTTTTCTGCTGCTGCTGATAGCGACCGGGTCCGGATGGCCTAGCCGGAGAAGTGGGAGTTGGTTCTCCAAATAAAAAAACCTTACCCCAGAATTCTCCGCCTACCGATTAAAACCCCGGGCTCTCGGAACGACACCCCCTGGTAACGTGTCTTGGCTAACGGGCGATGTCATTGTCAACATAGTTTTGACTACATGTCATCTGCTCTTTTTTCTGGCGAACGACGACTTCACGTTGAATGGGGGTTTCATTCGTGTTTTCTGTTCTGCTTGTGCCCATGTGGAGGGTGTCGACGAGAAAGGCTTGTGACAAGGAACGGAGCAAATATGCCAATGGGCAAGGTAGCCCCGGTAGCTAATGTGCCCAGAGCAAAGACGTGATGCTGCCGCGTCCGTCTTCAAGTCCGAAAGATTCTCCGATGAGGACTGCGAGTGTTCGAGGCTACCACAGTATTAAGGAAGAGGGGAGGTGTGTGTGTGGGAGGTTAGATGGCCAAGTGTTGTCTCCGGAGGGGGTGCCTGAGGTGACCCCACTCCGCTGATTGGCCACGGGTGACAGACTTCGCCGAATTAGGAAGCTTTGCGATTGCGCCATCGCCCACCGGTCGGGAGCCTCCGTAACGACTAGGACTCTAAGTACTCCGTAATACCTGCCACCCGACCAAGGGGAAGCCATCCTCGTTGGAGAAAACGTCTGACGATCTTCTTTCCCTCCTCACCCCATTTCACATTATTGGTCACTCCCCGATCTCGCTTTGAAAGCATACAGAAGAGAAAAAAGAGGAATAATACTCTCCCTCCTTATGATAACATACGTGGAGAGTGACAGGACATAACGGGTGCTCCGGACATAAAATCTAGCCATATATCTCTCTCATAAAACTTCCCTTTCGCTTATCAGATCTTACCTCACACACCCCCGAACGAAACATGATCGACGACACTCTCAAGCGCCCTGCATCAACAGATTATACCACCTCACATCCCGTAAAATCACAAAAGATTATCAACAACACCACCGACATGCCTTCCGCGGTCTCAACCGGTTCCAACATTGTTGGCGGAAACTCGGCAGCTCGCCCCCGCTTGAGCAAGCCGCTCGTCTACTCCGGTTCTCTAGATAAGTTCAAGAACGCAGACATCACCCCTGTCATTGGACGCGAGTATGAGGGCCTGCAGGTCGTTGATCTCCTCAAGGCCGACGACCAGGTCATTAGAGACTTGGCTGTCACAAGTGAGTTGCTCATCTATCTCTCTATGTAATACAGCCTTGTCCTTACAAACAATGCAGTTTCTCAGCGTGGCGTTGTCTTCTTGAGAGACCAGGATGTCACGCCCACCCAGATGAAGGATTTCTGTCTCCGTCTCACAGAGCTTGCCGGATGTGTAAGTGAAGATCAACCACCTGGACCCTACCTGTAACCCAGCTCCGTAACCTGACCCGAAAAACAGCCCGAATCATCAGGTCTTCACACCCACCCCTTGACAGAGGAAGGCAGCGAGCTCGGTGACCAAATCAGCGTCATCAGCAGCGAGAAGCAGAAGAAGGGCGGTGGCCTCACCCACCAACTGAGCGATGTCAGCCGTTTCGCCAGCGCCGGCTGGCACACCGACATCTCTTTCGAGCAGGTCCCCTCGGACTACGCAATGCTCAAGATCCACACCCTTCCTGCCACCGGTGGTGACACTGTAAGTTCCAAACCAACCGCATCCCGTTCCCCATCCCATCTCTCTTCCCCTGGAAAGGCTGGCTGGAACCACCCGTCCCCTCCCCTTGCTCACTTGCTTGCTTGCTCGTCATCAAACCCTTGTAGTTGCATTGCAGATGAATGGTGGAACCTTGCCCGGCTAACTGGGTGGTGAACTCGTAGCTGTGGGCTTCTGGATATGAGATCTACGACAGACTCTCCCCTCCCATGCAGAAGTTCCTCGAAGGGCTGACGGCCACCCACGACGCCACATTCTTCCACGATGAGGCCCGCAGGCTGGGCAACCCCCTCCGAGAAGGCCTCCGCGGCTCGCCGCTGAACAAGGGCTCCGAGCTCAAGTCCATCCACCCCGTAATCCGTACTAACCGTAAGTCCTGATGCCCCCATCACATCACATCGCTCCACCCCTAGTCAAAAGCATTCCTTCCCAAAGAAAAAAAGTCTAGAACCTCAAGCTGACAAACCAACCCCTTTTCAGCCGTAACGGGATGGAAGTCCGTCTACGTGAACAAGGGCTTCACCAAGCGTATCAACGGCGTCACAAAGGACGAGTCCGACGTCCTCCTCGCCTACCTCTTCAACCTCGTCACCCAGAACCACGACGCCCAGGTCCGCTTCAAGTGGCGCCAGAACGACCTCGCCATTTGGGACAACAGGAGCATGTGGCACTGCGCGACCTACGACTATGTCGAGGCCAGAGCCGGCGACCGCGTGGCGTCGTTGGGCGAGGCGCCGTATCTCGATCTGAACAGCACGGGCAGGCGGGAGGCGTTGGGACTGTGAAGAAAGAGCGTTTTGACGAAAAAAGTTTTGATCACGAATGGCGTTGGGTTTTGGTTAGCTTTGATGAAATGGTATTAGGCCTTTGACGAATTGAAGTTTGTTAGCACTATGGGAAAGACATGACAGGACGAAACATTGTTGGAAGAACCGTTCATTGCATGCTTGCTATGGCGTAATCTGCTTCATGATGCTATAAATGCCAGTTAACCGCCACATGCTGGCGACTCTGTCGCTTTGCCCCGGGCTGCCATGCTCCCTTAAGATGCCGTTCTCTCATCACCCCCTTTTCTCATCGTCGCTAAGTTGATCTACAGTATCACCAGTATCCTCGTGAAGCAAGTCTCCAATCCACTTACTTTCCTCGAGTATGCTTCTTGCTTTCTCGGCTTCCACCATCATATCGTCAGATATCAACAACACTGCCAGTTCCGGGACCAATACTGCCTCTACATAGCTAGAATAACCACGCGATGATATGAGCCGATCGTCGACGGCTCGTTCTCTCAGAACCGCTGAAAAGTGACCAATAATGTGCTCTGAGAATGCGCGAAGGCCCCGTGGGCCGTAATAGCCAGGCGTCAAGCTATCTTCTGCCTTGAGCAAGGTCCGGTTCTTGCCTTCCTTGACCTTGTCAAGCAGCAAATCACCAAAGTGAGAAGATCCGCCGTTAATAATTTCTCGCAGAAAACTGTAGTGAGAGGCGATCCGAGTATCGAGTCCCTCCCAGTCGATCTTGGGGTAGCCCCGAGAACCCCAAGCTTTTTCGGCAGACTTCTTTTTGTGCAGTCGGCAGAACTGAATCTGCTTCCGGATGTGCAGACGCGCACCCTGGGAGAAATCGTGCAGTAACGTCTTATCAACAATCTCATTACACATAGGGCAACGTGCCTCCACAAGCTGCTTAAGGTCGTCGTCCAAGTCTGACAAGTCCGAGGACTCAAACGAGAATTTTCTTGTCTTCTTCAGCTCGGGCTCAGGACTTGATTTTAGATTGCGAAGCTGCGGGCGTGAATTTGTTGGACTCTGCAGAGACTCGGGTAGGGAAGCGGATGGAAGCTTGAACTCGGCCTTTGCTTTTCGCTTTGGTGATGAGTGAGGACTGAGAGAGACATGCTTCATGACAGGATGAGCAGAAGCGTGCGGAGGAGAGGATAGAAACGTGGAAGCAGGCTCAATGATGCGTTTTGGAGGCGTCTGGCTCAAGAACTGGTCGAATGGATCGTCGTCGTATGCTTTAAAAGACGGCTGCGCTGTCTTGGGCGCGGAAGCTGATGAATGGTTAGTAACCACATAATTTTGCATACCAATGCACATCAAACCTTCTTTTCCTAGCTTGGATATCGGCCTCTCTTGCGACGACTTCAGTTTCGACTTTGTGGGAGGTCTGATACGCCCTCTGATGTTTTCGCCTCGACCATAACTCTTCTTCCGTACTAGTAATCTCTTGGCCTCTTTTTCGTCGTCTCGGTCGATTTTTCGGGCCTTTGTTATCTTGGATTCTGGACTCAGTGCCCCGCCGTCTGGTGAGTTCCTCTTGCTGCCACGTGTTGTGGAGAAAGAGCCTTGAGAGCCTTCATATTGTGCTTGTCCTTGAGAGCTTTCCTGGGAAGCGCTCCACGTCTTACTCTGCTCCTTTCCTCTTTTCGATGAGCCGAAATAAGGCGGAGCTATGTCGGCGCGAGATGACCAGGCACTCTGATCATCATCAGAGTCTGAAGCTGGTTTCGTACTCGAGAAGACCCGAGACGCCTCTTTTGAGCTTGACAGGGCCTTCGAAGGGATCGATCCCCTGCAAGATTCTGGATCGGTAATCTCATCATCAGAGTCATCAGGTGGCCGGTCTACCGGTCTATCGTCGGCGACTAGTGTCCGTCGCTGGCCATTAACCTGTGACAATAAAGGCCGAACGCGGTTGTCTCTCGCAAGACCAGCTCGCCTCTGCATCGTGGCCTGCTTTGGAGGCATGTTGACCTTGAATGTGCAGTTACAATGATGCCTAACACGGCGTTGGGCCGACGAAGTTGTGCTCTCGAGAGGCAGAAGAAACGGGGGTAAAGTGTTGCCTGCGGAGACCAGCAGGCATCTCACACGGAGCTCAACATCAGTCTCTGGCCGGGTTCGCTTCCGCTTCCGGTTCAATCCCTGATATGTTGTAATGAGGGCTGGCGGACATGTGCCATGGATTCAACGACAACCCCAATTGACATTGAGTCTTCGCATGTAACCTCGGCCGATATGTGGTCTTCTCAATTGCGGAGGAGACGTTGTTCGTTCGGCCCCCGGAGCCACAAAATTTGCTGCCGCTTGAGGTTAAGTGAAAGTGCTGACCCGGGGAAAGGTGGAAGCTACATTCGCGTTCTCGACGCGTGCCTGCCCAAGCACCGACCAAGTAGTGTACAGACCCCACTCCACTTTGTCAATGGGTACGTCCACGTTAGCAGGAAACTCCCTAGAGGCTCAGTGACTTTTGGCGCGGTGGCTGGAGCTCCCCTTCTTGCGCAGGGGTCTTTGATTGCTTATTGACTTTACCACATCTACAACTGAGCCGTTAAAGCTTCACGGAAAACCCCTTATCGACGATTTGAAAGTGGTGCATTGTCAGACAACGTGTCCAAACCCGCCAGATCCCCGGTCCTACCCTGATTCTCGGTCATGGCGTTGAATCGGAAATACGCAGCTTTGCCAGATCTTGTCAGAACACCCGCGTCACCCATTACTAAGAAGACGATACTGACGAGGTTCAGGACTCGGCACCGGACGTGTACGAGACGCCAGAGCTGACAGACGACACCTCCACCGTTCCTGTGCGTTTCTTACCCTGAGATCGTCTGCTATGGCTCACACGCGCGCAGACGACAACCGGACAATCGCATTCGGATGACGATTTCGACGACGACCTAAACGATGACGCCAACGGCATCTCGAGATCCCGACTTCGGGTAGATGAAGCACGATCCCGTTTCCTTCCGGCGGGCGTGGACGCCACAGGGGTCGACTTTTCCGATCGAGTAGACGGCAAACGCAAATCATACAAGGCATCGACGAGACGCCAGCGTTTTCTGCAGGATGGTACAGAGCAACTTGGTGACCTCAGCGACGAGGACGACGAAGATAGCCTGGAACGCAAGATCGCGAGATTGCAACGCGAAGTCGAGGAAGCCAAGGAGGAGTACGGAAAGAGGAAAGAGGCTTCAGCACAGCCCACGACGGGAGACCACGACGAGAAGCTAGGATCTCTCAGCAAGGTCTTGGACGAGATCTCTAAAACTTTGGAACAGCATACGAACAATCCTCGCGCACTTCAGCCAGTGTCTCAACCATCTGGACCATTTAAGAATGAATCGCAAGAATTGGTGGCACCGGGGAACTCTGCGACCTACACAGTAACTTATGCTCCTACCTACGAACAGAGTCACGCTCTTGCCACCGCCGCCGACTTCGACCGACGACTGGTCCTTCTTGAAAAGGCAATTGGAGTAGGATCAACCGCCCTGCCGGAGGTCGACATCAATGGGCTTCCCAGAGCCATTGTTCCCACGCTTGATGGGCTTCAAAAGCAGATAACGACTCTGTCGCAGGCGTCAACATCTAATCTGGATACAATCAGCCGTCGAGTCCGTACTCTCATCCAAGAAGCTCAGGAGTTGGAAAAGGCACGCCAGGGGGCCAAATCTGCGCAAGAAACCCTCGGTAATGGTGCGGCCTCTGGCGAGGATGCCCCGGCTCCTGAGCAGCTGGCAAAGATCAACGCTCTTTATGGAACTTTGCCTACGATTGAAAACCTCGCTCCTCTCTTACCGCCATTGCTTGACCGCCTGAGGTCCCTCCGCGCAATTCACTCTGATGCTGCAACTGCGGGCGAAATGCTTGGCAGAATTGAAAAGCAACAAACGGATATGGCGACGGACCTTAAGCAATGGAAGGACGGCCTGGAAAAGGTCGAGGAGGCGATGAAGGAGGGTGGCACTGCCATGACCGGAAACATGAAGGTCATGGAGGCATGGGTAAAGGACTTAGAGGGACGCATTGCGAAGTTGCCATGATTGACTTCCGCCGTCAAAAGATACCCCCTGCTTTAATCGAATAATCGAGCCGAGTTACAAATCTCTCGCGACCTGATCCATAATCTGGTCGTCCATGTGTCGCTATAGTATGGCTGAGCCGTTGCGACGGTTAACGAACTCAGCTCCCTAGTTCAAGGTGCATGCGCCTGTATGTCACTGTAATCCCCAGTATGAAAAGCCAATTATGACCATTAAAGCACCTTAGACTACAGACCAATGAATATCTGGCGAGAGATGTGCATTTGAAATATACCAAGCTTATTGCCAGTCTCTACTTCCTCAGAGGCCAACCTTGCTTGCTTTTGATGCATCTGCATCTGTTACTTACAGCACCTGAGATAAGGTAGTAGACAAGGTATTCACCCCTTAACGTCCTGGTTGCTCTTGAACTACGGAGTTATTTAGGCATGCAGCACAAGTGTGGGGTTGGAGATGAGTTTCGGTAAGCGGTGAACACGGCAGAATCCAGATGGACAATGCGCCCACCTCCCGACCAATGAAAGGACGCTGGGTCTCTAGCACGCACCGTGGAAGGGTTTCCTTTCGCTAAAGCCCTTCCACAAGTCTTCGTAGCGAAAAAAAGATCGTACTCGCAGTCAACCATCAACCCGCGCAGCCCACCACCCAGCAGCACCTTCGCAACCACATACATGTACGTGTCGCGTCGCCCGAGAATAATTGACAGAGATCTTGATCGACTGACGTAGAATTTCGCCCGCAGTCAAAATGGATTCCGCTAAGCAGCCTGTCAAGCTTGTGAAGGTCACCCGCGTCCTGGGCCGTACCGGTATGCCCCGCCTCTCCTCTCCCCCGGAAAAATGAGAAACGAAGCCCTCCCCGACGAAGATCGAATCCACGATTGCAACTGAGACGGAAGGAGGGACGAATTTTTGGCAGATTTTCTGACTGCGTATAGGCTCCCGTGGTGGTGTCACC